TTCAGGTTGTAAATCGTGTTTTTAAAAAGTAACTAAGTAACTAAGTAATTAATTACTTTTGAAAAGAAGTAATCAGTAAAGTAACGGGATTACTTTTTGGGGGAAGTAATCAGTAATTAGTTACTGATTACTTTTTTCAAGTAACTTCACCAACACTGGTCAGAGATGCCAAGAGAGGAGAGTCTGCTTATGAGGACAGAGTGAAAGATGGTGTCGAAGGCTGAGCTCAGATCTAAAAGGATGAGAATGACCAGAGTCGGCTCCGATTAGAAGATCATTAGTGACTTTAAGTAAAGCAGTTTCTTTACTGTGACATGAACGCAAACCAGATTAAAATCTCTTGTAGATGTTTTATATTAACCAAGTGTGAATGAAGTTGAACTGCAACTACTTATTAGATATCGGACGGAGGTTGTTCAAGTTGTTAGGGTCTAAAGAAGGTTTTTTCAGTATGGGAGTGACTGAAGCAATCTTGAATAAGGAGGATAGCAGAGATGAGTGGGAGTAAGGAAGAGAGGCAGGGAATCTTTCTGACCAAACAATCAGAAACTGACTTCATTAGGGTGGTTATCCATCGTCACGTCCGAGTGGCATCTGCCATAGATTGCAGTGATGGACATTCTGACAACCTGTTCTTTTCACAGATGAAAGCAGGTTGACCCTCAGCACGGAGAACAGATGAATCTACTTGAATTAGCTGAGGCAAGAGAGAACTAGTGCCCTATTTGGACCCATTTGCTAGTCAAAATGGGCCTGAAATGTATAATGAGGAATCTTAATACAACTTAAACAGTTGCTGCATGAGTGAAATTTGTTACCAAGTGCAAAAAAATAAAAAAAATAAAAAAAATTGTATGAGGCTGTAAACATGTTTTGCTGTAAAGCTGGGCATTTTGAACAGGGTGACACATCTATGGGAATTGACACACCTTTTAAGGATATCTCAAATGAAGAATAGATGAACTCCATTTTAGGCAACAGTTTTTAACAAAATCTTTAACAAAACATCAGTATTTGATGCCCGGGCAGTGACGACACTATTGGCACCACTGGCTGTGTC